CAAGAAGCAAGCAGCAGCACAGAGAGCAAAAATGAAATTCAGGGACCCAGCTGGCAGTGTCCTGGCTTCCACCTCTCCTCTGGAGTCTGAGAGAGAAGGACTGGAGCATAAAGGAGGTCACAGGTGGCTTTGAGACTCAGCTCTGGAAGAATTTTCTTGGCCTATTTTCTGCGCCGTTGTTTTTTTATTCAGCTTTTTTTGCCTTCCGTTTTCTGGTGCCTTCGTTCAGCTCCTCTTTGGACTTGGCAGGAGGAGGAGGAGGAGGGTGGGAAACCTCGTGGTGGTCGTGGTGGTGGCTTGGGTGGCCACTGGAAACAGAGCCAAAGATCACGGGGCAGATGAGGTTTTCCAGCGGAGCGAAAGGTGAGGCGTGGGAGTGAGTGGCCGTCATGAAAACCTGCCAGGCAACAGGGAGCACTCAGAGATCACACAGAGCCAGGAAATACTGCCCAGGGAGCATCCCACTGACCCCACAGAAAGTCCCTGCTGCTGCATGACTCGAGGCACAAGGAGCTGCTTGTGTGATGGAGAATTTAGCATTGAATTTTCTGAGCAGATCCCACAGCCAGTGAATCCTGTAGTGGCTCAGGAAGGTGAATATTCCCACTTGAGGTTCTGTAATTTGCTGGCAACAAAGCTGCTGTAAACTTACCTTGCAGACTATCATGAACATGGTGAAAAAGAAGATGAGGTTGGCTTCAGAGATGGGGAGCCAGTGGGTCTGCTGCAGAGTGAAGAGGACTGTGCCATACAGACTGGCCTTTGTAGGGCTGGAAGAGAAAGAAAGAGGTTTTCTGGAAGGTTTGCACCCAGCCCTGACTGGTTCTTTCATTCCATTCTTCATCTGACTGGGAATTTCCAGGCTGCTGACTTACAAGGACATATGAAGAATTTCGTTTGTTTCAGGCTTCCAGACCCCACGCAGCAGCTGCTCAAAGTTCGACATCAAGGCCACACCAGAACCTGTGAGGCAGAGAAACCTGTCAAAGAGCTGGAGCTGCCACAGCAGAGGGCTCTGGATCCTCAAGGGGACAAAGGGTTCTTCACATTTCCCCAAATTTAGAAGTTAGCCTAAGCCAAGAGAGGAGGGCAAGCGCTTTCCTTTCTACCAAGTGGATCCTGATGCAGGGAAAAGGCATTTGCCTCTTGCAGTTACTGATGCTCAAGTGCTTGCCCCAAACACAGCCTTAAAGGAAAACTGACTGGCAGAACCCCCTGAAAAGACAGAGGTGAGGTCAGAGATCACAGGAGAAAGAATAAAGAACTCCTGACTCCAGTTCTTCAACCTCTCTGCGAGGCTGCACAAACGCCTGCACGGTGAGAAGCTGCACATCCACATCCCCTCCCTGCTGCTCCCCTGAGCTGCCCCCAGCCTGTCCCAGCCTTCCTGCAGCCTCTGGAGCATCTCAGGTGTCACCTTTGAGCCATCCCGTGGCCATCATCACGAACCACCCGTGGTGGTAGAGGTGGTGGGCGTGGTGCACCCCGGCCGCGATCTTGCGCACCCGGACCACCTCCTTCATGGCCACGAAGATGAGCTTCACGGGCAGGAAGCTGACACACTTGTAGAAGAGGTTCATGGGGCAGAAGAATATCAGGTACCTGCAAAAAGATCACAGATTTGTTCTGATCTGGGATATGCAAAGAGGGGTAGTGTGGCAGGCTGAGTTAGGGCAGGTGATGGGGGTGAAGGAGAAGAAAAGTCTAAAAATAAAATATTCCTAATTTTATAGCTAATCCTAAAAGGAAACCAGCATGCAATGAAGCCTCTCTCTAGCAAGAACTGAGTGAGCCCTCAGTAATTCAGAGAACCCTCACTACTAATACTCCATCTTGACTAAAACCCAATAGTTCTAATTCAGAACTTTTTAGAAGTTTGTGTCTTGTATGGTCCAGAAGCATCAGCTCATACAGAACAAGAAGCTACAAATACTGAAATGCTATTACAGACAGAGGATAGATTTCAAATACTCTTTTTTCCAGAAGACTGCCATATTTTTCAGCTCTGAAAGAAAATCTTTCTCTTTATTTTCTCAAGTATAGAAGACTAGACGGCTGAGGGATTTACTCTGAGACTTCTGTTCATGAAAATCTCAGTCACAATGTTTCTCAACAGTGCTCATTCTGAGCACCTACAACCCATACACACTGGGGAAGTTAAAGGTTCATTTGTGCACATTTCACCAACACAACGAATAAAATGCCCTCAAAACCTTCAGGATGTGCCACCCTTTGCTCTGTGGGATCCATGGGTGCTGCTTCTCCTGGCCCAGCAGTGGCTGCTATGAATAGAAGTGCCTCAGCCCAGATAATCACAGCATGAGGCAACTGGGCAGGGAAACTGGAACCAGAGCCAGGAGTGCAAGAGCCTCAAAGACAGCCTCAGCCCACCTCTGCTGTCCCCAGTTAATCCCAGTGAGATCAGAGCTGAGAGCATCTCAGAACATCTCCCCCCACACCTCCCTGCAGCTCGTGCCACATCAGGAGGGCTGCAGGGCACTCACCACACTGCTGTGGCCAGGATGACACTGGAGTTGTGGCTGAAGTAGGCAATGGGTGCCTCTCCCAGCAGCAGGTCAGCCAGGATGTAGCTCCCAAAGCAGTGGAGCATAGCACAGAGCCAGGAGGCAAAAGGGCTTTTCCGGGACATCTCCACAGCTCCTGTGAAAAAAATTGGGAATCACGGAGTCACCGTGACTGCCAGGGACCCTCAAGGCCATCTCAGTGAGAAGATGGATCTAGCAGTTAAGCAGGAACTTCAAGACCCAGGAAGAGAGAGGCTCGAGGTGCATGTTCTCCCACAAAGCAACTCAAAGGAAAGTTTGTCAAACAAAATACAAAAGTGTGAAACCCAAACAAGTACCAGAGATGGCCAAGAAGTGATCACACCCTGCAGACCCCCCCCAAAGGTCTAGTGTGAACAGTCATTAGAAGTCTATGAGCTGGCTGAGAGATTCTGTCCTTTATTCTGCTACCAGAAAGAACATTTTTTTTCCCCTTGAAATCGATGTATTTTTACAGTCTAAAAATAAAATGCATACTGGTACCATTCTCTCCACTGCTTCAACCTAGGTGCCCTCTAGAATTCATGTACAATCTGTTCAGCTTTTTCATTCATAAGATAACCTGCATAAATAGAACAGGAATTCTTAATCTTTATTTGAGAGAAGAGGATTTGAGGGTTCTTCCCCGCTCCTGTACTAGTCTGGAAATACTTTGTGGGCTCCTCCCACAATCTGCTATGGCCTTTTTTAAAATTCCTGTAGCAATTTTCATCCACCTTTGTACTTTTTCAGGGAAACCTCCCGATAATATCAATTCTGTGAGGTTTTTTCATCACCTTAAACTGCTTCGTGCAGCACTTCAGATACAAAACTCTGTTCAGTGAGCAGACAAAGAGAGAAAATGCTAAAAATGTTATGCCAACATGATTACCAGGTACACCTTAAACAGCAGTAAGTGGATCAGCATGAGCCAAAGCTGTGAGTGCCCAGGCTCTTCCATCCTCGGGGACATTTGAACCAGCTGAAAACACAGCAGGCAGCGAGACAGCTGCAACAGCCGAGACATGAAACTGGTTCTATAGGAACCTGAGGTTTAGCTTGATGCTTAAATTTAGTAACACTTGTTTTTCCTTGGCTCCACGAAGCCATGCTGTCTCCAAGGAGGAAAAAGGACGGTTCTGTCCTGACACTGATCCTCAGCCCATAACTGTGGGATGGGAGCAGTGCAGGAATCTGGGGAAAAGCACACCCCGGCTTTATCCAGTCCCAAGTGGATTCCTGGGCTTGCATATATTTAAAAGCTATTTTTGTGAGGGCTGCCTGTTAATTGTTCAGTTCAGGACTCCATGCTGGAAGGCAGCTGGGAGCTATCAGGCCTGGAAAAGCCAGCACTTGTTTACAGGCAGTTTAATGGGAACAGCACATGGATTGTACGGCTCGGAGGTCGCACAACACGAGGTCTGAAAATCATTCCCGAGCCCGGGGTGGGTTTTCCCTTCAGTCACTGTGCAGTTACCGGGAAACTGCTGAAAACAGAGCATGAGGAGCGCACACATTGTCAAAAACAGAGGGAAGGGGGCGTTTGGAAAAGACCGAGGCACAGCCAGGCTGTGACAAAGGCAAAAGGTGAAAGCCAAGGCGCAGATCTATCGATCTGTGCAAGGTAAGCCCAGGAGAACAAACAAAGCAAGGTCAGCTATGGTTCCTGAGAACAGCTCAGGGCATGGTCCAGACGGTGGGAAAAACCAAGGTTTTACTTCCAGTATTTTTGTATATAAATAGGAGGAAGGTACTGCCACAAAAATATTCAAGCCAAAGGACCGGCCAGAAGCTCAACTCAGTCCTGGGGTGGCAGCCAAGTGACAGAACTCAAATACCTCAACGCTGCCGGAATCCAGCCTTAGACAAAATCCAGGATTATATCCCAAAATCAGAGTCACGGGCTCGTGGGGGTTTTTCCTGCTTTATCTCTAGACGCAGGAGCTGTGACATGGCCTGTGCCAGGCGGCAGAGAGGCACGGGCAGGTGCAGAACCTGTTGGTGCGGGGTCGGTGAGCGGCACCGGAGCTCCCCCCAGGGCCCCCCGGCCAAGGGCCGCACTCACCGGGCTCGTACTTGAGGTAGAGGACGGAGACGATGAAATAGGCGGTGTCGAACAGCGGGAACACCGGCAGCGCGGCGAAGGCGGCCGCCAGCTCGCCGAGGGGCAGCGCCTCCGCCAGATCCATCGCGGCCCCGGAGCGCGGCTCGGGGCCGGGTCCGATCCGCGCCCGGTGCCGGGTCCGATCCGCGCCCGGTGCCGGGTCCGATCCGCGCCCGGTGCCGGGTCCGATCCCCGCCCGGTGCCGGGTCCGATCCGCGCCCGGTGCCGGGTCCGATCCCCGCCCGGCGCCGCCCGGGCCGGGCCGCTCGCTCCCCGCCGTGTCCGGGCACGGAGCCGCCGCCGGGGCCGCGCAGGCGCCGCCGGCCCGGGCAGCGCCCGCCCCTTCCGCTTCCCGCCGGCCCGGAGCCGCCGCCGGAGCCATGATCGGGGACCTGCTGCTCTGCGGGTACCGGGGGCGGCTCGGCCGGGTTAGCCCGGCCGTGCCTGGTCCTGTTCCCGTCCCCCTTCCCACCCCGTTCTCCCTCCCCAGCCCGCTTCCCCGGCCTCACTCGCCTTCCCCATCCTTTTCCCTTCTCCATCCTCCTGTCCCTTTCCCGAGGTCTTTCACCATCCTCGACTCTTTTCCCCTTCTCCATCCCCGTTCCCCCTCCCTACCTGCCTCACTCCTGTTTCCCTTCTCCGTCCTCCTGTGATCCTTTCCCCGTCCCCCTTTCCCGACATCTACCCACCCCGTCCCTTTTCGCTTTCTCCATCCCCGTTCTCCCTCCCCAACTCGCTTCCCCGGCCTCACTCCCTTTCCACGTCCTTTTCCCTTCTCCGTCCTCCTGTCCCGTTCCCCATCCCTCTTTCCCGACGTCTTTCACCATCCCCGACCCTTTTCCCCTTCTCCATCCCCGTTCCCTCTCCCTACCTGCTTCCCCGTCCTCACTTCCCTCTCTCTCTTCCTGTGCTTGTTTCCTTCTTCCCTTTCCGCTTTCCTCATTCCCCTTCCACCGTCCCCAATCCCCTCTTCTCCATCCTCATTCCCCTTCCCCGACCGTTTCCCCCCGTCCCTCTATCCCCATCCCCTCCCCTTGCCCCTCTCCATCCCCGACCTCCTTCCCTTTCTCCCGCAGGACGCTGCTGGTGAACGCCGGTGCCGTGCTCAACTTCAGGCTGTGAGCGAACCGGGAGGGCGGGCGGAGGAACGGGGAGGGTTTTTTGGGAGTTCACCTGCCTGACACGATCCCTCTGCCCCGCAGGAGGAGGAGGGACACGGAGGGATTCGGAGAGGAGCAGAGGGAACCCACCACCGGTAACGGAGGGGATGCGGGAGCCGGGCACAGCCCTGCCCTGGGCCAGGACACGCACAGAACGGGCTTTTCTGGAGGAAATCCTTGGCCAAACTGGAGTTTTTCCACCCCTTTTTGTTGGATGTGAATTGCTGTGGGGCTGGAATAACTGGTTTATTAACTTGTAAACTAAAATGAGAAGAAACACACAAAAAGCACATTTCTTTCAGCATTTTAGACCTGTAGGTGCCTGTGCTATAGAGGTGATGCTCTGCTCATTCCCCTATTGCCATTTCCACGTGGATCCATCTGTGTTGCTCCCTTGTATCTGTTTGCTGGTTAAAAATCCCAGAACACCTTTTTTGCTCCTCCCTTTTTAGCAGCGTGACCCCTTTTTATAATTTTTTGGTCATTTTGCCATGTATCCTTACAGAGTTGCACTGAACAGAGCATCCATCCTTCACCTACAACCTCAAATTTCAGTCTGAACTTTTTGTTGTGTTTTTTTTAATGTTTCTTTTTCCCCTCTCAGAGTTGCTTGTGATTTTCAGGCAGCGCTGGAAATCTGACTTGTCAGTTGTGTTTTTCATATCAAAAGCTTCTCCTCTTGATTTCTAGGCGACAATATCAGAGAGTTCTTGCTGAGTCTCAGGTATTTTCGAATCTTCATTGCCTTGTGGAATATCTTCATGATGTTCTGCATGATTGTGTGAGTAACCCTGTGCAGCATCTTCTCACTTGGTTACAGGAAGTCATATATTGGCACTTTTCTTGCACATCTCTCTCTTTGTCACATCTGTCTCTCCCATTTGATTTTTCCATAATTCTTTTTCACTTCACTTCTTTATTTCAGTTTTCAAATACGGGTTGATCTCACCTTTTTTTGCTAATGTGGGCACCTGTAGTGCATGAAAACCACCTGTGCCAGCACCTGAGTCATTCAGCCTCAGGCAGAGTGTTGTTTGTTGGGGGTTGCTCAAATCAAACATCACCTGGGTTTAAATTTGGGGATGTTTTTCATTTTGGGGTGGGGTGGAAACCCACCAAGTAAATAAATCGGATAAATCAGCCTTGCACAGGTGTGGCTGTTTCTCATCTTACTTTTTTTTTGCATCCCCCAGGTTATTTGGATCTTGAAAGCCACCCATGGATATTAGAAGAGACTTTTGGCTGGGAACAAACTTTTCTAGGAGTAAAATATTCTGCTGCTCTCCAGCTGCAGCCCTGGGCCTGTGGGACACGCTCGTCCCCTCCAGGTTCCTGCTCTGCGGGGGCTTGGAGCCACAACCTTCACACAAATGATCTCAGCTTCACTGAAAGGGAATTTTGACTTGGTTTCCTAAGCTCAGAGTGAGAGCAGGGGAGAACTGGAGCCAGTTTTAAACCTCTGCTTTGCCAGTCCAAACTGGGTCTGTGCCAGCTCGAGTTACCCCCGTCTGTCCAAGTCACACTCCTGAGTTCTCAGTTTTGTGTAAAAGTTGAGCAGAGTGTTCTTGTAACTTCTCACTATTCCATTCATTTCTTTGGAGGCGTAGAAAAGGAATATTCAAGAAAAAAAAATGCCATTCTCACCTTCTCCCTATTTCCCTATTTTTCCAGAAAAAAAATGCTTTGTAAAATAATACTTAAAATAATTTTTTTTTCCTAAGCAATATGTAAAGGATTTTGAATGGGGAAAAATGGCAAAAATAATTCTCTAAGCAAATGTTAAGAGATAATTTTGGAATAATCTTGGATTTGGTTGAATAAAGTTGCTCTATTTAAGGGTAAAGTATATATTTGATGCCATGTTCATTCTGTTACATGAGAAATTGATTCTGTATTGGTGTATTTTGGGAAATTGTAACTATTCCTGTCATCTGCCTGGAGTCTTGTGTTATTTATAAGTTAGCCTCTCTGACCAACAGCTTTTCCCTGGAATCGCCAAGATCATTAATTTAAGAGAGTGCAGCGCTGAGTATCATTTAAATCAAACTGTAAACTGTTAGTGGGGCTTCCACAGCTTCAGTTTCTTTAGATGTTGAGGAGAAAGAGACCTGATTTAAATGATGCCCTGGCACAGGTTTTAGGGAGTATTTGGAATTTTATTTGGTAGTGAGATGCAAGTGTTGGACACCTGCAGCATTTTACTTGAGTTGCCCTCTTGGTTGAACTGAAGTTTTCACATTAATGAAACATGACAGGGGAAGGGTCATTTGATGGCCACTGTAATGAACCCAGAAAAATGTACAGACAGGCTCCTTCAAATGTGGTTTGAGCAATCCAGAAATATGTACAACCTTTGGTTAGATTTAAACATATTAATTTTCTGTAATTTCAGTATATTTAAACCCTTTTCTAACTCTTCAGAATGAGACAAAAAAGTATACTGCCAAATACAATACCATTATTGTATTGTATCAATTATATTGAACCAATATAATTCTTGGAAAACATTTAGTGCTTAATCTTAATTAAACCAAATTTTAAGGGACGGGTGGATGTGGCATCACTGTGTGTGTGACCTATTGGATACCCCTGGGTTCAGCTTTGAGCTAGGGGGGTTTTTATTCTTCCTCAGAAAAATGGTGACTATGATCACAGGGAGTTCCATTGCTAAAGGAATGTAGTTTTATCACCCTGCACACACCGTGTGGCTCCAGAGTGGGCTGTCCCCGAAAGACTCCAGCTGTGCAAAAGTTGTGATTCAGCCTCGAAGCAGCTGCTTTAAAACAACGAAATCAGGAGTCAAATTTCAGCTGCTCTTAAATGCTGTGAGAAGTTTTAAGTGCTGCACTGATGCTTTGCTGAGAGGACCAGAACACCCCTCACACCTTCTTGCCCGGAGTGGTGCCCGCAGGGGGTTTATTCCCGTTATTTATTCCCATTATTTATTTCTCTCCGCAGGGTGCTCGGTTCCTCCGGGGCCGGGCGGGGGTCCCGGAGTGGCCACCCGGCTCCCGCTGCCCCTCCGCCGACACTGCCCCGCTCTCCCCTCACGGCTCCCCGCCTCGGCGCCCTCTCCTCCAGCTTCTTCCCGCTATCCCTGTGTCCCCCTGAACCGCCGTTGTCCCCTCAGCGGCCCGTTTGCTGTCCCCATGTCCCCCAGCGCCGCCCGTGTCCCCTCAGGGATCCTTGTCCGCTACCCCCATGTCCCCCGTGTCCCCTCAGGGGTCTGTTTGCTGTCCCCATGTCCCCCAGAATCGTCGCTGCCTCCGTATCCCCTGAGGGGTCCCTGTTCGCTGTCCCATTGCCCCCATGTCCCCTCAGGGGTTCCTGTTCGCTGCCCCCATGTCCCCTGTCCCTTCAGGGATCCTTGTCCGCTACCCCCTGTCCCCCGTGTCCCCTCAGGGGTCTGTTTGCTGTCCCCATGTCCCCCAGAATCGTCGCTGTCCCCGTGTCTCCTGAGGGATCCCTGTTCGCTGTCCCCGTGCCCCCCGTGTCCTCTCAGGGGTCCCTGTTCGCTGTGCCCATGTCCCCTCAGGGGTCCCTGTTCGCTGTGCCCATGTCCTCTCAGGGGTTCCTGTTCGCTGCCCCCATGTCCCCTCAGGGGTCCCTGTTCGCTGTCCCCATGTCCTCTCAGGGGTTCCTGTTCGCTGCCCCCATGTCCCCTCAGGGGTCCCTGTTCGCTGCCCCCATGTCCCCTCAGGGGTCCCTGTTCGCTGTCTCCGTGCCCCCCGTGGGGTCCCTGTTGGCTGCCCCCATATCCCCTCACCAGCCTCTGTTTCCCCCTCTCCCCCGCGTCCCCCTCTTCCCCCCTCACGGCGCCCCAGCCCCGCCCCGCTCCCCCACCGCGCACGCGCGCGCTCCCGCCGCCGCCCGCCCTCCCCCGCGCAGGCGCAGTGCGCGCCCCCGGCGGTGCGGGCGGGCGGGGGCCGGGGCGCGGCGCGCGCACGTCACGGCGTCGGGCGCGTCCCAGGGAGCCGCGCGCGGCGCCGGCCCTGCCCCCAGCGCGCCCCGCGTTCGGCCCGAGCGGAGCGGAGCGGAGCGCTGGGCTCGCCCGCTCCCCCCGGCCCCCCGCGCCGCCCCCGCCCGGCGGGGAGCGAACATGCTCCTCCGGCTCCCCGAGGCCGCCGCCGCCGGCGAGTGAGGAGCCGCCGCCGCCGCCGCCCCGGCCCGGCCCGGCCCCGCCGCCCGCCAGCCCCGGCCGCAGCCGCAGCCGCCCCGCTTCGCCCAGGCAATGACAGCGGCTCCGGCCCCGTCCCCGCAGCAGATCAGGGACCGGCTGCTGCAGGCCATCGACCCGCAGAGCAACGTGAGTACGGGCCCCGCGGGCCCCCGCCGCTCCGGGCCGACCCCCGCCCGGCGCTCCCGCCGCGACGCCCTTCTCCCCCTCCCGGGGCCTCCGGGGCTCCCTCCGGGGCCGGCCCGGCTGCACCGGAGCCTCCGCTGCGGGCGGCGGCGCGGGGCTCCCGGCGCGCCGTCCGCCCGGGGTCCCGCAGCCGGCGGCGCCTCCCGCCCGCGCCCCCCGGGCCGGGAGCGCAGGGCCGCCCCGCTGGGGGCTCCGGGGGCCGCTCCCCGCCCGCCCGGCGCCGCGGCCGCCCCCGCCCCGCCGCCGCTCGGCGCCCCGGGCCCGGCCGGTGCTGCCCGGCCATGCGGCGGGCGGCCCGGCCGCCTCCCCACGCCAGGCCGCGGCTCGGGCGCGGCCTGCAGGGGGCTCTGGGCCGGCCCCGCCGCCGCTCGCCGGGACCTTCCGGGGCGCCCACCTGTTCCTCGGGCCCTGCGGCCGCTCCGGCCGCGGCCGGCGGCACCCCGGGCTGCGGGGACGCCAGGAGGGCTCCGGCCGTGGCTGCGGGGCTCTGGAGCTGCTCCAGCACCGAGCAGCCTCGGTCTTCGCTTTTATCCCTTCCTGCAGCGCCGTAATGAGCTTATGTGCTCCTTGGGATGTGGTGTAAGCACAGAAGTCAGCGTGTATTTTACCTGTAAGTGGCCTTAAGTGGCGGTTATCCAAAGGATCATTTGCTCCTTTTAAGGGTTTTTTGGCTCATCCAAGCAGTTCTCCGCTTAGGTGTTTATTACTGTGAGAGGACTGCAGGGCCCTCAATCTGTCCAATTTTTGAATCTTAGATCAACACTCACCTCCACAGGATGCCAAGGTGGGTCTGGCTTGGCCATCTGCAGTTTGTGGGAGCAGCCTCTGGCTCATCAGGCTGAATGTGTGCGTGTTATTTTAGGGGCTGGGGTGTGTGAAATGGTGCTTTGGTTCTATTAAAGTCGTACCTGCTCCTGTCTGAACAAGTACTTTTTTTGTGATAGACATGCATCAAAGTCCTAAAGTAGCTAATAAAGTTATTGTCATTTGGAACCCTCCCGGAGCCTGTGTCATGGGGACTGAAGAAAAACCACTCCGGCCTTGTCGGTTCTGTAGAGCCCCCTGGGCTGGGCATCTGTGGGGAGCTGCAGTGTTGCACATTGGAGTAACAGTAACAATCGTGGCGGTAATTGTGGGCTGTTAAATGTCAGGGTTGTCTGAGTTTGCAGTACTTTAACGTGGATCTTGCTGAAATGTCAGTTAGTACACTTCATGAATCCTGTGTGCACTGAGCTCTCTGTGGCTGCAGATTGTTCACTCTACGTGAGACTGAGTGTCAACCTACTTTAATAAAATTCTAGCAGATCTGTGGTGTCTTTTGACTTCAGAACTGTCAGCTGCAGTGGTTACCCTAATTCTGGTGTTACTTTGTCAGACACTGTGGCTGTGCAGAACTAAACAGCCAGAAAGTCAATTTGGTGTTGGATACTCTTCCCTTTCTCCACATGCTGATGTTTCAGGATGCTGTTGTGAGAGGACTCCAAATAACCAGGCAGCTCCCTGCAAGGGGAGGCCAGAGCTCCCAACAGGTCAGTAGCCCCTTAAGTTTAGGAGTGATGTATGTTAAATTTTAATTCTACATACTTGATACTTATCCAGGGCAATAATTGGTGGCAGAAAAATCAGCCTATTGTTCCAAAGTGCCTGTAGGCAGGGTCTGTCTTCCAGTTTAACCTTTTCTTGGAGGAGAGCAGAGGTGGTGTAGCTGAGGTTCATTGTGCAGGCTGAGAGCTCAGACTCTTGGCTCCAAAGCACATGGAATATGTGGCGGTGTTGGTTGTTCACTACCTGGCACATCACTGGCACAGAGGGAAGAAAAACTTACATTTTGAACACACTTAAAAAGCAGATTTTGAGTTTAATCACACTTGGACACCATGGTGAAAGTACAAGAAGCTGCTCTGCTGTTTTCCTGCTGGGAGAGTCAGTGCAGCAATGAGCTTCTGTGCCTGCAGGGACTCATGGAAAGCTCCAGCTACTTTCTGCTGGCTCTTAGAATCTTCTCCTGACAGAACTACTTGTGTTCAAACCTACAGCATACATTGTTGTCACTGACTTCCTCATTTACCAAGAAGGTCAAGCTTTGTGGCCTAGATTTAATTCAGACTTTTCAGTGTGTGTGTTTCTGGAGAGGCTGAAAGCTGCACCAGTAGTGTCAGGTGGACAAAACCAGTCCAGTTCTATGGGGCTGAGGAGGGAGGAAGATGGTTGGTTCTTCATGGTGCTTTACTGTAGGATCTGTAAATTTAAGCTTCACTTAAATTCCCTGACACATCCCCTAACACAATCTGCCATTGTGGATATTTATTCTTGAGTGGTTACTTGGATCATGGTTGACTCACAGGTCATGCCTTAAATGGGGGGAAAAAAAAGGACATAAGTTTCTCTACCTCTGTTGGGTTGAACTGGTCAAAATAATTGTTTCCCCAAGCTTGCAGAACCTGCTGGCCTCGGGAAATCATCTCGTGTGCTGATTGTTCATCTCCAGCTGCTCCATAAAGCCCTGCTGACTCGGGAGCAATATTGAATTTACACATGTTTAGCACTTGAACCTCCTCTAGTAATTGCTGCA